GAGCTACGGACAGGCACACATTGTAACAATTCATTTAGTCTCTTGAATTCAGACATTTCAATGAAAGAATCCTGATCATCATAATCCTGATCAACAATGTCTTTCAACTGGGGTTTGAACTCATAGTAGAAAGGGCCAGAACAACTGCAAAGGAATCCCCCCAGAGGCAAATCTGTGACTTTTCTTTCACAAGGACAATATTCTCCATCCCTCTCTCTGAACATGGAGACCCAGAAAGACTCAAGGGACCCCAGAGGAGATGTTGCTTCTCACTATAATTATTATAATCCCAGTCTTTGGGATGTCTTCTTCTGCTTCTCCAATCATTGCCTTTCAGGCAATAATCAGACTAAAGCAACATGGAAAAGCTCTTGCATCAGGCTCTACTCATCCTGAGTGTTATGCACAACATTTAGGACAGGCAAAGACTGGCCTGTTGAATGCACCTTTCCACGTGAAACTTACTTTGCCTCTGTCTGAATGAGGAAAGTCATTTGCTTTTCCATTTTGTGAGAGTGCTTTGAATTCTTCTAATTCTTCTGGCGGTTTACAAACAAAAGTGACTCATTCAGCCAGAGAGGAATGAACCTCCTGCTTCTGCTTCTGATGCTTCGGCTAACCCAAATAAATTTTGGGAGGCTCACAGCTAAATGCCCCCCGATTTTGAAGGAGCAGGACACAGGAAAGCCATGGAACTACTACAGGCCAGGAGACTATATCATCACTGTGTTTGAAACGGCAACAAATCCTTCTCTTGAGCTGTTACAATTTAACGGGGCTCCGTATATTTCTTCTCCGTAAGTCATTCTATGTGATGGAGTTGCATTCCCTCCATTTGTATTTCTAGTAGTGTTCTTCCTTTCTTTTTCTTCCAATTATTTCTAAATTGTAGGAAAATGTGTATGAGGGGTGAATCATCTTGATTGATAAAGCTCTCCTCTTTTGCCTTATCTTGTACAAGACTCAAATGTAAGGATGGGGAAGAAGGAAACCTAAAAGAACCTGAGAAAAACAAAACAGAATTCAGAGGATCTTCTAAAATATGAGTTCATTTTGTTCATGGTGATTTTTATTTCATGTGGTTATTGAAAAGTTGTATTAATTGCCTTTCTTATAGAATAAGAATGTGTTATTTCTAGAATTGCTTAGCTGGCTCACTTATTCATCTATGTTCTTGCTTTAATG